AAAGCAAAAAAGTTGTATTAGAATCACAAAATATTAGATTTGGAAAAACTTCCAAAATTATCCAGTTCACTAAAATCAGAAGCTGGGCTGAGGTCTGGAATGCTGTACATACGAACTTGGATTGTTTTTGAATTTGGAAGGATAGTATATGCCAAGAAATAGAAAGGGATGAATGATATGTACAGGGTTTGTGATAGTTAATGTTCAGTAAATATTCAAGAATGTAAAAGTATTATTTCACTCAAAATAATTTAAACAAAAGCTCCAAACTTCTGTGTTACTAAAAGGTGCTAGATTCTAAGGAGAACCCATTGTTTAAAACAAAAAAAATGACATCAAGTATGAGAAAAAGACAAACTGATAAAAGGACAATGCAAGTAGTTGACAGATTAAGTAAACAGAAGAGCAACCAAGAGGTAAGGACAGAAAAGTCTTCTCCTCGATGACCGGAGGGGAAGCAGCTGGGAGCTGGAATGCCTTTACAAGAAACTGGCAGGTTCTCCCTCGGGGAGAAAGGCTTTGCTTCTGTAAAATGAAATATCCAGTTCCAGAGTTGCATTTTCAGATTAGTTCATATTCACTTAGTACTCCTTTAACTGGAAGTCCATTCACTCAAACTCTTCTTGGGGACTGCTCTGAGCCAAACCCTGGGCTAGGCAAGGGGTTCACTAAAATGAATGACACACGGCCCCTATTCTCGGGGTTCTGATTTCCCATTGCAGAGGCAGGCCTCGCAGCCATTCAAGGACGAGAGTTTTGGGGGAAGCCTGTGTAGGATGTGACACAGCCTCATAAAGGGAGTGTGGGGAGCTAGGAAGCAAAGATGCCCCTAAGTAGCGGTATTGTGCTTCTACAGGGTACCCCACACATGCCATGCTCCCTAAGCCAAGGGCCCAGCAGAGTTAGCATCAAATAATCACAGAAGCTATCCTGTTAGTTCTGGTGTTAGGGGCTCAGAAAGGGAAGGGTGTGAAGGAGAGAGAGTCCTAAAAACCCCTAAGGGGTAAAACGGGAATGAAATCCTACAGGGGATCAGTGATGTACCAGAAGGCAGGATGAAGTAATGATGGAGGAAATCCACTGGAGCTGAGCCTTGGGGATATTTCAGTTCGCGTGGCAGAGGTGGGGGGAATGTGCAGGTCTGACAGTCAGCAGAGCCTGAGCAGGCAGGGAGGGCGCCTTGGGAACAGAAGGGTGCCTCAGTAGGACCAGCACGTAAGGTACGCTGGGTGGGAGGAGTAGCAGTGAGGTTTTTGTCTTAAGTTTATTGGAGCATACATACACTATGTATGCATCACCCTATGCCTGTAGGCTATTAATGACTTAGTACATTTATGTTCATCCATGACCAATAATCGTTTTAGAACATTTCCATCATCCCAGAAAGTTCCCTTGTGCCTGTTTGCAGTCTTTTCATCATGCTTATTTTACTTAGCATGATGGTTTTGAGGTTCATCCATGTTGCAACGTGTACCAGTGTCCATCCCTTTTTATTGCTGGACAGTAAACCACTAGAGACATAAAATACTTTAAAAATTCAGTTCACCAGCTGGTGGACATTTCAATTGCTTCCATTTGGGGTTATGAAGAACACTGCTGCTATGAGCATTCACCTACAATTCTTTGTGTTAATATATATGTTCTCATTTTTCTTGGATTAGATTTGCAAATTGAAATACAGCATGCCCAGTTAAATTTGAATTTCAGGTAACAATTTTTTTTGGTATGTCTCCTGAAATATTTGAGACAGGCTGTAATAAAAAGTTGTTTGTTGTTTATCTGAAATTCAAATTTAACTTGGTGTCCTGTCTTTTATCTGGCAGCCCTATTATGCATAGTACCTAGAAATGGATTTTCTCAGCCTACAGTAGGTCTATATTTAACTTTTTAAGAATCTGCCCATCTGTTTGCAAAAGGGACTGTACCACTTTACATTCCAGGAATGTATGACGATTCTAGTTTTTCTCATCCTCACCAACACTTGGTATTGTCTGGGGGAAGGCATTGTTTTTTATTACAACAGTCATTTTAAGTGAATGTGGTTTCTCATTGTGGTTTTAATTTAACCAATAATCCTTAAGAAATTGTTTTTATTAGTCATTCATATGCTTTCTTGGGAAAATGACTAGCAAATCTTTTGACTTTTTAATTGGATCATTTGTCTTATTGTGTTGTAGTTCTTAACATATTCTGGTCTAAGCCCTTTATTGGGTATATGATTTGTAAAATCTTTCTCTGCACATTTGGCTTATCTTTTTCTCTTAAAAATGATTTTTAAAGCCCAAAAGATTTTATTGAAGTCCAATTCATCAATATTCTCTTTAATGGATTTTTGCTTTTGGTATCACACTCAAGTCTTTACCTAACTCAAGGTCATGAAGATTTTCTCCCATTTTCTTCCATAAGTTTTATAGCCTTTACTTCTTTTACCTTTATGTCCATAATGAGGTAAGGATCAAAGTAACTTTCTCCCATTCCTTCCAATCTTTTAAAATATGAGTATCTAATTGTTCCAGCGCCATTTACTGAAAAGACTGTCCTTTCTCCAGTTGAATTATCTTGGCACGTATGTCAAAAATCAATACATCATATACATAAGGGTTTATTTCTGGATTCTCCATATTGTTCCATTGCACTATATTGCCTATCCTTATACCAATAAACAGTCCTGATTTTTGCAGCTTTATAGTTGTGAAATTGAGTAGGTTAATTCCTCTAATTTTGTTCTTCTTCAAAATAATTCTGGCCATCTTTGGTACTTTGCATTTCCATATTAGTTTTAGGACCAGTTTGCTAATTTCTAAACAAAACAAAAAAAAAACCCTGCTGGAATAGTGACAGGGATTCAATTGGATCTACAGAACAATTTGGGGAGAATTGCCATTACAATGGTGCATACTGAATCTTCTAATCCATTCTAATAGTACATATTAAATCCTCGAATCCATAAATGTTTCTCCAGTTACCTAGATCCTTAACTACCCCCAGTAACTTTTGTCATTTTCATTGAAATACTTATATTCTTTGTATTCTTGATGCTACTCTGAGTGGAACATTTTTTTCTTAATTTGGGGGGATTGTTCACTGCCAATACAAATAATTTTAATAGATTTTTTTTTTTTTTNGATTGAAAATCCATTAAGCTGAGTTGCCCTCTATTCGTAGTTTGTTGAATTTTTACCAAGAATGGGTGCTGAATTCTGTCAAATGCCTTTCCAGGGTCTTTTATTAATATGGTAATAAAACAAATTTCTGGAAAGTAAATCAAGCTTACAGCCCTAAGGATACATCCTATTTGGTACTGGTTATTACCTCTTTGTTGCTGGATTCAGCTTGCTAATACTGTGTTAAGGAGTTTGCATCTACTTTCACGGGTTTTAAATACCTTTTTAAATATAGGTATTTAAATTTCCCTCTTAGAATTGCTTTAGATGCATACCATAAATTTTGGTTGTCTTCATTTTCATTTGGTCAAAATTATTTTCTAATCTCCCTTGTGATTACTTCAATACATGGATTATTTAGAATGGGTTAATTTCCAAGTATTGAGGGATTTTCAAAATTTCTTACTGTTGGTGACCTATAATTAATTCCAACATGGTTGGATACTTCCTATGACTTAATCCTTTTAAATTCATTGAGTTTGTTCTATGGCACAGCCTATGGGCTTTCCTAGAGAATGTTCCATGTGGCCTTGAAAAACTGTGCATTCTGCTGTTGGTGGGTGGTGGTCTACAAATATCAGAAATTGACTGATAGAATAACATGACAAAAAGCATAAAAAAGAGTACACTATCAATTATTGAGAGTAGGATATGGAAATCCCCAAATATTATTATTGAACTGTTTCTCCTTCCAAACTTGTCACTTTTTAAATGTATTTTGGGGTTCTGTTGTTAGGTGCATATACATTAGTAGTAATTGTCTCATGTCTCTTGACATATTGAATGTCCTCTATTTCTAGTAATATTTGTCTCAAAGCCCACTTTGATGCTAATATAGCCATTAATGGTCCACACCAATACTTTTTCTTAGCTCTTTTTCTTACCTTCCTTCAACTATTTCTTCTCCCTTTTTTTTGAGTTGCCAATCCCTTTTTATATTTCTATTCTTACACGACAGGAAAAAAACCAGCTATCTTATGTTTCTTCTTTTTTTCATTTCTCTTTAGTTCAAAGAATCCTTTATTTTCATGATGATTTAATATTACTTGTCTTTCCTAATTGTTAAAAATCATGCATGGCTGAGCCCTGGCTTTTATAACATCAAGTTTTTTCACTCATCTTTCAAAATAGTCCTACTATTTTGTAAATCCTCAATTAGCAACCAAAAACAGTAGAGTTGCAAGATAAGTCAAAAAGTTGCAAAAAGTCAAAAAACACTTTTTCCAAATCAGGAAATACCAAAGGCAGAAGAGACTGTATAAAACTGGTTACGTTGTTTCACTGAATCTATTATGTATGAAAAATTATTTCACTTTTTTCCAACATTCAACAAAAGGCCTACATTCTGGTGATATGTCTTCTCTATAATGAGTAAAGAAAAAACAAAATCCCTAAGTTCTGTCTTTGAATTGAAATGACTAGTACTCATTGTGAGAGCAATTCTATCTGCAGATCTTCTCCCAGCATCAGTCAGGGAATTGAGGACCACACCTCTTTCTACCACAATTTATTCAGTTCTCTTAGCGAAGTTCTCATTTCCAGGATACTGTTCAAATCTACCTTGAAAAAAAAAAGCCTACTTCTACAAATGATGCCCATTCTCACACATCCTTAAATTAGATAAGAAGATGAAAATAAATCTCCATTGGAACACAGTCAATGATTCCATAACATACGGACATTCAACTGTGTTGATAGATAGTAACCACACCAGAGGGGGGTGAGGATTTAATAATATGGGTATAACTGTTGAACCATTCTGTTGTACATTTGAAGCCAACATAAGACTGTATAGCAATGATACTTCAGTAAAAGAAAAAAAAATCTCCCTTGAAAAACACTGAAAAACTTTACTCATCAAAATAATAATACTGCTTTAACACAAACTTAGCATATCTGTGGAGCCAAGGCAAGGTAGTTCACATGCAGACAGGTCAGTTCCCACCGACAGATCAACGACCCCTACGGGGGTGGAAAGAAGCCACCACTCATGCAGAGGAACCTTCAGGCAGGTGGGTACTTCTCAAACATATTACAGCATTATAACTTGTCCTGGGGAGTAAGTAATCCAAAGACTCTAGTCTCTATTGACAGCACTACATTTCATAACAGCATTGCTCACTTCAGTATACTAACTTTATTTTAAATTTTAAATTATGCCACTAGCACTTGGGAAAAAAAGTAATTTATTTGCATTGCTTCCATTTCTCTACTGTAGTGTTAAGACTTGATGTAAGCATCGCTCTTCTACTTCCTATTTACAAATCATTCAGAATATTACTACAAATACAATATACAATTTAAAAAACTTATGGGGAAATGCAGTTTTTGTTTTTCTCTCCTCTTTACAGGCTTCTCAAGTCATCCAACTTAAATGAAAATTTATGTGGTTATTTTCTGTACACATCTGAAAGGGCAGAGATTACACTGATAAAGCCAAAAGAACTCGCACAAATACAATAAAATACAGAAAACAGAAAGTACAGATGATGTTATTTGGGGTACAAATATAAACAATACAGTACCATTTGAGTAATTTAGCAATGTAATACTCATACTTTATAGAAATAAAACTGCAAACCTGGAGAATGCTCTGACAAATATTAAAGATCATATGTACAATGAGGTAAATGTACCTTGGTCTCTTGAGAGGTAATTTAAGTTTAAAGCAATTGACATTTTGAAGCATCTCCTTGACATATAAAGAAATATCAAACACCCCGTTCCATTGGCACAATGTGAAAAAGGGATATTAAAACATGGTTCATGATATTCAATTCACAAATCTTGTTAAAAAATAAAAACAAATTCACTTAAGTTCTTTTTTAAGCTGTAAGAAAATACAGGTTGAATGTCATTAATCACATTTTTTGAAGTTCACAATTACAGATAAGATTGCATAATGGGATTGAAAAGTTGCAATGCACTGACAATCCTCAGAATGTCCTAAAAGCCCAGCATTTCTACAGAGAGGGCCTATGGGTACGCCAACATTCCAAAACAGAAACAACAAGCTGCAGATTACATGTCCAGAGCTATTCTTTAGCATCTCAAAAATATCTGAATTGCATTTTCTGCCAAGCTGCAGAAGAACCATTATTTGGACTCTCTACCATTTGGAGCCAGAACACTGCCACAGTTAAGAAACAAGAAGAAATAGGTGATTTACAATCACTCTTTCAGTTCAAGGAAAAAAATAAACTCTTGATATGATATGTCTAACCAGATACTGATTTTGTTGTATATTTAAATTAGCGCTTTGCCACCTTGTTTTACGAAGTATCTGACAGTTCTCAGATATAAAGGGAAAAAAGGTAACTCATGCATGAGCTGCAAAATGGCCAAGTGATCACTTACATTTTATCATCAGAACTGAAATTTGGAATTGATGGCCATGGCAGTGCATACTGACTCAAGGCACTTCCTGAGCACTATCATTACAGCAGAATTACAGGCTCAGCTCTTTGGGCCTTACCCTGTCCTATAGAGGATACTCCTGGCCACTGCTTCTGGCACAGCCCCCATTGCCATAGCTGCCACCTTGCTGCCATCTCACTCCTGAAATCAAAGCAGAGCAGCCAGCAGGGCCATCTTCCGTCCAAACTCCAAAGTTAGAGACCTCTCCCAGCAACATGCAGTGACTCAAGGAAATGCAGATATGTCCCACCATACCCATCAACCATTTTACTCTAGGTATCAAAAGCAGCTATTCAGTTAAAAGGCTATTCAGGGGACAGGGGCATGGAAGGGTGGCTGGTGACTAGGCACTGGTCTCTGAGTCAGAGATCAGCAGGAAGGCAGGTTGGGAGGAACAAAGTGGAAGTCATGAAGGAAGGGCCATGGACAGGTAATGTGCTGAAGGTATATTTTAGCCAAGTTGAACCTTGGAAGGTGTGCATCTGAAGACAGGCTATACAGTACAAACAAAGGCTTGTTTTTCTAAATAACAAAATCAATACTCTAGTCAAGTTTATCTGCAGGTAAGGCCACAGTAATCATGATGTATTTCATCTTTTAAGTAACTTTTATTTCCAGTATTAGCCAATTGGGGTTTATCAAACCATCATTAGCCAAAAAAGGAATTAGCTATAGCAATGTATAAACCCAATTTAGAACAGAATTCTAACTTTTAAAAAATTCCCTGATTCATTGAAAGTACTTGTTATGCACTTAAGCAATAGCAGTATAATTACTGTAACTCAGTGTTTGACTTAATAAAGAATACCTTCAGCACAAGTTGATCACCTTACAGGACAGTGAGAAACCATGTATTACAACTTCAAATCAGATGAGAACTTTTGGTTATGTTCTTAAAATCATATGAAAATAGTTTTAGTGACAAAATGCGTTGGTGCCCTGGATTTCATAAGGCAGATCTGGTAGTCATAGAAATGGCCAAAAAAAAAAAGGTACCGGATCAAGAGCTAGAGATTATTAAACAGGAAATACAACATGATAAAAACAAACCTCTTAGGCTCACTTATCTGCTTTAATGAAATCATGGTAATTACAGAAAAACCCTCAAATTTGGAGTCAAAAGCCAAAATATTAACCTCCAACCACATTTTCCCCATTGTTTTTAAACACATGAAATTGACACTAAACTCCTATGTAATATGCCATTCATTCTAAAATTACTTTGGTTTTAGGACCAAATAGTCTTTCCAATCTATGCTATGTATAAGAGTGTATAGAGTGTATAGAGATAAGACATTTGACAGAATGCAGCTTGGCCAGCATAATGGCCACTATCTCTTACTGACCAAAATACTGTAAAGATTACTCTAACCCTTCATTGGGAAATCTCTAGCACTATGAAGTCCATGTTCTGACTCTTTGTTTCTTACCACTATGATAATTTTTCCCCCACAAGAATAAGATCACAGTGATAAAGAGAACTTTGAAAATTGTAAAATTTCAACTTATGTTCCTCACTACTGTATGAGGTTTAGACTCAAGATAAGAGCTTTGTAAGTGTTAGTTTTGAGATCTTGAAAATTATAGAACAGTACATTCAAAAGACTTTCAGCACTGGATGTAAAAATCAGTTACTACTATAAGCTGGTTTCAACTTAATGTGAGAAAACCATGACAAGTTTGCTTTGAACATTTAATTTGACCAAAAACATCTATAAATGGAGAACCTACACTCAGAATATTCTTTAGCTATACCTCTCCCAAATATCCAGGGTGCACTAAATTCATTACCTAATCATGTTAATTAAGCAGTTGCAGTATCTGCTCACGGAGTAAAGACTGAATTAAAAGCTGCCTTCCTCAAAGTGTAGTGAGACCTCAAAACCACACTAACCCTAACTGTAGTTACGACAGAAAATCCACCCAACATTGGCTCCTATGACTCTCACACATTGTTCTCTACTTAAAATATTAACTACCTTTACCTTTCCAGAAAAAGGCCTATTATTTAACACTAACCATTTCTAATTTTAAACATAACTCATTTCTTAAAAAAATAACACTGTCTTTGATGAGATAAAGAAAAAAATGGCTTACAGAATGCCACACAACTTTTCACAAGCAGCTAGACAAATTTTCCCTTTTAGAAAAATTAGTCTGTATGCTATAAATCTTAAATTATTAAAGTACTGTATGCATCTAGAGTGCCACTTGATTTTTTAAGTATACTTAGACAACACAATTAAAATGCAAAAGCTGGATATGAGAATATTCAAACATGACCATGATAACAATTTACCAATTAATGCCACTTCGTTCCTTAGTGGTTTAAGCACATTCTGGTAGGAGAAAGGCATTTTCAAAATGGAATACTGAATGACATACCACAAAACACTTCCAAAAAAAAAAAACCAGAAAAAGTCTGGGTTATCCAGATAAATAAATGTTTTGAATTAAAACACTATACATTTTAGCACACACAAACTTAATGCAAATCTACTATTTCCATTAGAAAGACACAGAAGTGGCACTTACTGGTATAGTACAATCCCATTTCGAAGGCATGTAATGTTCTGAATATGTGAAAGAACAGTAATAGTATACAAATACAATTGCATAAATTATGTTCCTCACTACTGTATGAGGTCATATTTAGACTCAAGATAAGAGCTTTGTAAGTGTTAGTTTTAAGATCCTGAAAATTATAGAACAGTACATTCATTGTCTGAATCAAGGAAACTCTTTAGTGGTTCAGAATCCTCTGAGAATGTACTAACAGGAGTAAATCACTTTCTTCAAAAATAAGAAATGTGTCATAAAACTCAGCAATCCAGCTCCTTTACCCTTAAAGATGATCTTTAGCACAGCAGAGTTACCTAAAGTTAAGACCAGCAATCATCTTTTTAAAAAACAAGTTTTGTGTTAATAAAAAATAAAGGTAGACTACACATTTTGTGACCGTCCTGGGAAAGAAGTGTTCATAGTGCACAAGGAAGGACCCACATGGCTGTTCCCTGGGTCCAAAGGAATCCTGGGAAGTTCTTAATTGACCTTATTACACTGTTGCAAAAGGAAGCAATATCCTTCTGTTTCCTCTCAGTGAGGTAGAACAACTGACCTCCCAAATTAAAACCCAGGAGCAGATCTGAAGAAAAAGTAGAGTTCAGGCAAAGCCGCAGAATTACATTTTGATGCCTTCCTGTTGACTGAGCTGTGACAATGTTTTCTTAATCCGCAAAGCTGTAAGCCTAGCTGCTCCATTGGCGTACCAACATTCTCTCATAATTTTAGCCATTACTCTCAAAGCCTACAAGAAAATACAAGAAAAATAATTAACCCTTACACCACTTTCCATTCATTGGTTAACAATCTTGACCTGTTTATTTCCTAAATAATGTATGTACAAGTTTTTTTCATTTCAGCATTATTTGTAATAGCAAATGAATATAAGGACCTAGATCCCCATCAACAGGGCACTGGTACCAGCACCTGGAAAGCAGATGGACATGGGGTGACTTACTCAGCAGACTTGAAAAGGCTGATTTCTAGCCCAGAGCTGTGCAGGGCAGAGGAGGAACATGACTCACACTGAAACTCCCCCTACAACCGAGGGACTGACTGCAGCAAGGATGTTCAGGCTAAAAATAGGAGCACCAGCCAACAGCACCAGAACCCAAGCTACCTGTGCCCCACCAGCTCAAATGGCTGGGGGACTGTCCCATCCCACCCAGGAGAAGCCCAGAGGTTTGTATCTGAGGGGACAAAACAGAGATTTCTGACTTGGGGAACACAAGGGTAAAGTTCCATACTAACAACACACTAAATGCTAGGATTTTAAGCTTTCTCCCCAAAACACAGGCAGCAATTTGCACATACTCCTCCAGGCAAGGGACTGCAAGAGGACAGCTCTGAAGAGACTGACATCAGTGGGTTCCCAAGGAAGCGATCCAGTCAGATCGCCCTAATGATCACCGATCACCGTCAACAAGCTACATTTACAGGCACAGAGCTTCCTGCATGCCCTTTCTGAACACAAAGAGAGTGTGAGTGTGATGAGACACTTGAGGAAAGGATTATGAAATGCAGAAGCCGATACAAAGAGGAAAAAGCAACTTGGAGAAAACAGAAGCTGTAAAGAGAAGAAAACATCAACAACTATCATTAACATCCTCAAAGAGATAAAATACTGACACTGGATTTGTCACTGATACTTTTTGCTTTTTGGTTTGACTTTGGAAAAACTTTACAGAAGAACCGGGAGATAAATCTGATTTTTTAAAAAATGATAAAAGCTGACAAACCTCCCAAAAAGTAGAGAAAAAAGACAAAGAGATGGAGAA